TGAAGCAAAATCATTAACGAATATTTACTAAATTAAACTAACAACAAAAAAACGATAGATTATATATGTATGTACGTACATAAGCATGTAGTATGTGTGTATGACCATAGGTATTTTGACGGACCTACGATTGATTTGTTACACCCATAACAAGCGTAAAGCGTCTACAAGCGATAAGCGAGCAGCCCAAGCGCACATGCAGCCGGCGAAATTTCAGCTATTTGTTTGTACTTATATATGTGTGTATTTTTGTATGGCTTTGTGTATATTTTGTAGTACGAAATGCGCTTTCTTCCTAGTTGGTTTTGTGCGCGCCATCGGTTGCTCGGCGGGAACGTATAGAGGTGAGTGGTGTTTATGATTTTTTTTAAACTAATTCGATGCAAATTTCTACGCAAGTGCTAATTATGACTTGCAAAAGTTTAAGGTTAAGGTTTAAGTTTACAATTTGTAGTAAATAATTTTATGAACAATGCTGCATTTTAACGCGTATTTACCGCTAACCAATGTAAGTGCAAAATCATTAACCATAAATCTGAGGAGCTTTGGTGCCATCATTTTAGTGTCTGTTGAGTTGTTATTTTTGAATGCAAACAAAATTTGTTTTAAAGTGCTAAATTTAATGAAAAAAAGTCTGTGTTGTCATTTGACAAGCTTAAAGTGTCAGTCATGCATTTTAATTTATATTCGCAACTTTTCGCAACGATTAACAGGGTTAATGTTTTATTTGTAAGCTAAAAAGTTTGACAGCTGGCCAAGGTGAATGTTGGAAAACAAATATACAAACAATAATTATACCCTGAATAGAGTATATTAAATTTGCCAGCAAGTTTGTAACACCCAGATGGAATTGTCGGAGACTGACCCTATAAAGTAACACACATATATATGCATATTAATGATCATCGTGACTAGCTGAGCCGAATTAGCCATGTACGAGAGTATACGTGAAAGACTTCCTCAGTTTTTGAGATATCGACCTGAAATTTCGCACACGTCCTTTTCTCCCCAAAAACTGTTCATTTGTCAGAACCGACGATATCGGATGACTATAGCTGCATATAGCTGCCACACCAACGACCTATGAAAATCAATATGGAAACTTATTTATTTGACAAAGTTTTTTCACGACATGGATTATTGTCCAATGTAGCGCTTCAATCTCCGTACACATTGCTCAGATATGTCATATAGCTGCCATTCAAATTGACCAATCAAAATCAAGATTAAATCATTTTATACCCTTTTAAGCTATAAGAAATGCACTTGTGAAGGGTATTATGGCTTTAATGCAACGGAAGATAGTGCTTTTTTTTAAATTAAATAAAAATTAGTAATACTAATAAAAACATCTAACTTCTACTTCTTTATTCGAATAAGAGTTATGAATACAAATCGACCAAATATATTTCTAAAAGCTATTTAAGATTTTCAATAAAATAAAGTGAAATGGACAATTATTTTAGCACCTAAGAATTCGGCAGAAATCTGGGGAACTACTAAGATTAGTTTCGAAAAAAAATTATTTAATTTTGAAAATATGTTCAAGTTTTTGTTAAGCGAGTTACAAAAAAACACTCTAATTTGTTGGAAAATTGGTTTGGCCTTTATTGATAATCGCTCGGTAATCGATGTAAATCGCATCTGTGATTTTTGGAAGCTGGATTTTATTTTGAACTTCGTTTTTGCAAGTTAATTAAAAAATTATTTTTAGTGTATCTACGACCTGGTTTATATCGGCTTTAATCAGTCGTGGTACGCTATCGGTATTAATTTCTCGTATTCTCAAAATAAACGAGTGCAGGGGAATTTAACGGCATTTTTTGATATTCTGAACTGTAGTCGGTAGTATCCCAGTAGCTTTTTAGCAAATGACATTTTTGACGCAAAGTCGTTACTAGCCGCCAACACTAATCAATAATAATATATGTATCTACACCAAATTTAAGTATAAACTTTTTTACAACGAGTCTAAAAACACGAAGCTCGTTAAAATCATTAAGTCAAATTTTCTTTCGCTATCTGCTTGGCGTAATTATCTCTGAAATTGCAGACACACACATTCGCACTAAATAGTAAAAGCGCTTGCTACATTTATAATTCAAACAAAGCTTCATGAAATACACAAAATCATCAAAAATACATACATACGCTACTCAATATGTATTTAACCTTTCAAACTGTGCAATGCTTTCAAGCAAAAAAAAAAAAACAAACAACAAGAATTTGCTAACAGTGGTAATCAGCTGTTCGCGAAATGCCGCAAAGGCAATGACTAACAGGTGATCACTCGCCAGAGTTGTGCTTTTATTTTAAATATACTACAATACTTCATTTCTATTTTATTTTTCTCATATTTGTTGTTGCTAACTATTCTTTGCAGTATCGCTTAGCACTTTCAGTATGAGAATATTCCATCCAAAACAAATGAGTATATATTAATACATATAATTTATTATAACATATTATTAAATATATGTTATTTAATGCAGTTGTTGTCGCTTTGTATTGGTTTAGTTTTTGCTACTGTTGCATTCTTACTTACTGTTGCATTCCCTCTGTTTCGTTTGTTTTGCTCGTTAATACTGGCTGAAACAGTTTAATTTTCTATTATTTGTATGCAGTTTATATATACGATTGTTTTTGTTGTTATAATATTTACGCAATCAAGTGATTGAGTATTTTTTCACACTATTCACGCTAGTGTTTGTTGTAATTATCATTACCATGAGCACACTTATGTACTTTAGAAGCTTGTGTGAATGCGTCATGGAACACAACAAAAGTGCTTGCAATTCAGCTAAGTGTTGTACATAGGTGCATATATACATATGTATTAATGTATGTATACTTATAAACAGATATACACATCTATATAAATTCATTTGTTATTAGATTTGATTTTTATGAGTGGCTTTTAATAAAAATCCCAAATTTTTACGACATCTATTTTTGCACGTATTAGTATGTATAGTTATATATAACATATAGAACACATATACAATATCCATATATATGTATATACATATGTATGTTTATATTTTCTAGATTTTCCGCATTCTCTTAACAGCTGTCTCCTATATTTTCACTCCAACCAATGTAAAACGTCACATTTACTTAATGTTCAAACACTTTTTTATTGCCTCGATAAATACCGGTTACTTATTGTTTTAGTGTCTGAAAAAATTTACAAATCCTTTTGAAGAATATGGCTGACCATCAGTCCTTCGCCACAAAAAAATCTGTGTCCCTGCGGGTTATGTGGACCTGACTGCCGTGGGAATGGAATACCGATTACTCGCTAGCTTTTGATGTTGTTTAATGTTGTTAGAATCGCGAAGAGAATAGAAAGAAATAGTGAAAGGAAAATAGATTTGCTACAGTTACAAACCTGCGATTTTAGCGCGTGAACAGGTTTGCATCCGGCCGAAGATTCAGTGGATCTATACGAATATTTGGATGCTTAGGGTTAAATAATGCTAAGCATCTGACTATCAGCCCATTGGTCGACTTCAACTTCCGCCCGAAGTGAAATCTGAAATTTAAGACCAATTTTTGTTTTCTTATAACAAAAGGCTTTCACAGACATATGTGGAGAGTTTTTCTGACATAATAATAATACTTTACGTAAAGCTAATAGAGAGATGCCGTTATTAGGAAAAAAACTTTTTTTAGGGTTTGCAGTGACTGAAGTAGTTTTATTTGAGTGTATCTTTCATTTTATCGTGTGTATCTTTTAGTAATCGGTAAAGCTACTTATCAACAAGATTAAAGTGTACTTTATTGATCGCCTCTCGGATGTGAAAGCTACGCAAAGTAGCTATTATTTAACTGTTCAATAATACAAAATATATTTTTAATTTTTCGTCTAGTTATAGAACGGTGATCTGTCAACAGATGCTTTAAGTGCATCTAACTCTTTTATCTACAAGTAAATCTGAATCTTAGTAAAAACAAATAATTTAACTGCTCGTAACATTTCTGTTAACCGATTACTCGTTAACTCAGCAACGCGGCAAAACACTTGCTCGACATTTAATAACAACATGATAAACAACACCGGTGACAGCAGTCCAAAATACAACAACACGGATGCTAACAATGTCTAAACGAAAAACTTACAACAAAAGCATCCAGCAATATTTAGTAAAATAGAAACAACAACAGAGTCAGTGATATATAAATATATACAACAATAAAAAATAAAATATTTTGTCGCAAGATTCCAACAACTGAGCAAAGTATTATATTTAGATAGTGAATTAGAGCGCAAATGGAGAGAGCATTTACATACGGATAGTGGAAGTGACTTGAGTGTGTTCATGCCCGGAAATGAGTGTGAATATTGGCAGCGAAGTGTGCTTAGTCGTTGTAATTAACGCTCACCGCAATAAATTGTACGAAAGTAATAAAAAACGAATAAATTGATGAAATACTATGTGAAAGAGTAGTAAAAGGTGACAGTAATAGCAATAGCAATAGCAATGGCAATAGCAACAATAACAAAACGCAATAACAATGCCGATAGACCGGTGTGCAGCTGGTTAACCGGTAGCAGTTATTTATTTAACAGAATGCCAATCAGTTGTGATGAGTGAGTGTTACGCGCAGCCAGTTACTCACACACATACAAATATACTTACATATATACTCATGCACGTTTAAAAGCTAGTTAGTGAGCCTCTAGTTGGGGGTCGGCCGGCCATATGTCGGTTAAGCTATCAGCTGTTGAAACAAGTTGCAGCGGAAAAGATATGCAAAAACAGCTACAACAAGTGGTTGTTTTTTGTTATTGTTACTATTTTTTGTTTCTGCTGTAATTTGAGATCTACTGACTTTCTTACACTTTTAGTATTGTTGGTTGTTGTTGAAGTTTTTGTTGTGCTGTGTTTTTGTGGTGTTTACACATTTATACATAGTACTATCAGCATGATACTCAACAGTAGCAGCAATGACAACAGCAACAGCAACTTCTACTGCTGTCCACTGCCATTGCCACTGCCACCAAAACAACAGCAAATCATAACAAAACCATTCAGTGTGTTTTGGAAATCGTCGGACGTCGGTTGTTGTGTGTTTTTTCTGGGACGTTCTAACACACATATGTATGTATGTACATATATACATGTGTTGTGTTCGCTTTAACATTGTAGCAATTTTTTTTTCGTCTGCAAATTTTGGCGAATATTTAGCTGAATATTTTTTCTGCTGACTGTTCGTTTCTTTCTTATATATATATATTATAATGGTGCGCTTTTAAAAAGTGAATGGAGAATATGGTGAAGTGTTTACGAAACGGCTGCGCAGACTGGCAGGTAAGATTTAGATGCAAAGAAGGCAAACGGGCATTGTCAAGTGAATTGTATGAAGCAAAGAAGGATTCGCCAGTCAATAAAAACCTGTCATGCTGAGTTTGACTTATCATGCAAGCATACACACATGCTTTCATACATGCAAACATACACGTGCATGTACGTACATGCATTTAGAGATGAAAAGTGTTTTGTGGAAGAATTTAATTGACTTGAAAGTTTTGAAGAGTGCCAAAAATAAAATAATCTTAACAATTTTATTTACATGTGTGCTTATGCTTGAGTATTTATTTATATATGTTGTGAAACAGCGTGGAAAGAGAAAAGCAATTAAGTGATTAAATTTTGGAATTAATACACAAAAAACGTTGAAAGATTTAACTAAAAGCTATCTAAATAAATAAATAAGCAAGCGTTGATAAATTAATTATAAATGTGATTTGCATTAAATGAGCAAAAAATACTTTAAAAATTATTTACAAATATGAAAATATACATATGTATGTATGTGTATATAATGATTTTTAAATTTCATTAAATTTTTTTTATTTCGAATTTTAATTAACACACACTTTTGAGTGTTAAAAAAATAAATGCATCATCTTCTTAAATTAAAACTGTGCCGCATATGAAATCATAACCGCTTAAAAGTGTTTATATATACATGCATATGTAAATATACATACATATGTATCTATAGCTAAATATAATTCAATAGCTGATAATAATTTATCCAAATAAAAAATTTTACCTATATTTAAAATCAAATTATCTGTCACATCAAACAGTTGCAAGTTATACGTGCAAGCACATACACTGGCAGTCAAAAAAAAAAAATATGCGTGAATTTGATGTATGTATTTATTTAAAAAATAGTATATATAAAATAGTAGCTGTGCTTAGTACCAAATTTATATTAAAAAAATAAATTATTATAAAAATTTATCTGGTATTAAAATTAACATGTTATTAAATGAAGGGTAGAACAAAAAAATTATTTAGCTCTGAATATAGTTTTTTTGGGACTCTACTTTAAATTATACAATATACCATATATAACATATTAATATTATTTTAAGTTAATTGAGCAATATTTTGTATTTTAACTCTCTCTTTCTTTCGAGTTAACCAAAGATTGGATCTTTTTTGACCTTTTCGAATTTTGTAAAAATATTTAAATTTTCCAAAATCCGAGGCAGGCGCGGTAGAGAGATGTACAATATAACACATATTTTTATCAAATTTCAAAGAAATCTATTAAATAGAACTTGAGGTATCATGTCAACCACCTTAAAAAAAGTAGTAGAGAAAAACGTTTAAAGTTTCGTCGTCCGCTAAACCGGTCCAGTTGCCAATACACCAAAATGGCTATAACTTAAGAAATAATTCGGATTTTTTTAAAAACCTTTTAGATAGATATTTTTGAAGGTCTAAATTTTACAAATCGATATTTTCAAATTTCTAGACCAGAATACCCCTTAAAATCCAATACTTGTTAATTCCAAATAAAAAAGTGCAAAATATCCAAAAAAAGAAAAAAGCTATACTAATTTTCACAAATAAAATTTTTTTTAATAAAAGTACTTGAATAGGTCAATTTGGGAGCTGTTGGGACACTGTAGCGTCCGTTCTGAAGAATTTGTTCGTAGGTTGAAACATTGTCTTGAGAAATAATCTGTGCCAAATTACGTGAAGATTTCTGATAAAAAGAAAAGTTTTTATATAAGGACTTGATTTTGATTGATCAGTTTGTATGACGGTTATATGCTATAGTTGTCAAATCAAGAGCAATTTGTTCGGAGACTGTAGCGTTGCCAAGTTTTGTGAAAATATATTGTCGAATCAAAAAGTTTTTCATACAAGAACTGCAGCTATATGCTATAGTGGTCCGATATCGGTGGTTAGGACAAATATGCTTCTTTGAGTTCAAAGGACGTGTGCAAAATTTCAGTTTGATATCTCAAACATTGAGGCTTAATTCGCGTATATATAGACGGGCAAACAGACGGATATGGCTAAATCGATATACCATATGTATATACATATACTTTACAGACTCTCCGATGTTTTCTTTTGGGAGTTCAAAACTTCGTGGCGAATTTAATACACCCTGTTCAAGGTATAAAAAACAAAAAAAAATGTATGCCATTACTTACTATGTCTAGACTTTCTTACAACACGTTTGTATCTATAAAATTTTTGAAATGCTGTTTTAAGTATATTCTATTTTGATTCATATGCGCAATTAATGTGTGTATATGAAATTATGTATATATGTATATAAATAAATATACACGAGTATGAGCTATTTCTTTTGTACCGTCTACATCTGTAGCCATTTCTGTCAATTATTATTATTTTGTGGTCTCTTTATAATGTGGCAGATTTATATATTTTAAGCTTTTTAATTTTGCCAGTTTTCTTTAGAAATACGTACTAGGTACTTTTTTGTAATATGTGTCTAAATGAGAAAAGAGTAAATTTATATTGAAAAATTGTGACTTCAGGAGTCTTTTAAATTTAAAATCTGAAATTATTTTTAATGTATAGATTTTACACTTCCTTTCACTAATTTATATAAGCATTATGTAAATATATTTATATATAAATTAACATTTCAAAATTTAGTATTAGAAAAACCTTTTCCTAATTGCATTGAATTCGAGGCTACTTATTCCATATACAATACTTTTTCGGTACCTTAGTTGTTGGTTGGACTTGGTTTGGTTGTTATCACAAACAATTTCACTTCAATAATCGTAGAACTGATTTCATTACGATTGAACGTACATAAATGGCTGCTGGCCATTAATCATTAACGCTAATTATAATTAGATGTGATATGCAGACGGCTAAATACCGTAGATACAAACATATAAAATGTGGCTTTTTTATGTTGACAATTTCAATTTGCACATTTGGATATAAATTGAAATTCACCTGCTTTTGGAATAACTGGAATTTTTAAATAACGTGATTTATGTATTAGCGAATTCGGAAAATACGCAGATGTCTTCGAATTAATTGACTTGCCATTAGTAGGTTATCAGAGCATAAGTAGTATGTATATATATGGTTTTAATAGAATTAAATTTTAATCAAAAATATAAATGTTGAGAAATATGTGTCAAATTGTTCGAACAAGTGCTCATGTATCAAGATAGAAGCAGTTTCAGATCGCACATCAATTTAGTCAACTCTTAAGTTGGCAACTAATATTGCTAATTGACTCCATTAGGTGGCTATCTGAAACAACAATTAACATTATATATTATACATATTTGAATGCAATGTGCCGAGTATTAGTATAATGAAATTAAGTACATGTCTGGGAACTTGTGCTTTAAACACTTGATTACCCTTCGAATCTCCAAGAAACTGACAACTAGTCTATTTGATATCCGAAGCTCCACTTTTCAAACCCGCCTTATGATTTCAACTACTTACGCTAACTTTTTACTTTCAATCTTCAAGGCATACATATATGGTAAATAGTTATATTATATTATAGGTATAATATTATTCGTTTATAATTCTCACTCTCTAGAAAAATATCACAGCTTGATTTGCCAATTATACTCCGTGCTTTGTAAGACCTTAAGCCTTTTAACTTATTGTCTAAATATAGTAGTCACGCCTCTCTGATTGTTAATTTTTTACATTATTTCGAAATTATTTGTTTTATTTTACTTCTTTTTTTTTTGGTTTTTGCCTCGCTTCGTAATTAAATTGAACGTAAAACGACACTTGTTGCGTAGCAAATTTAGAATACAATATGTAATGTGTACATATGTATGTCCATATTTTTTAACACTACAGTTAGCATTATTAGCAAGACAAAATTGTTAACAAAACGTGCAAAATACGTGAACAAATGTTAACACCAATATTTAGATAAGTGTGCCAAAGTGGGAAATCTGGGTTCTCAATGCCGATTAATGAAAAACCTTGCCATAAACTGTGAAATTATCGAAGTAGTTTTTTAAAAGCGCATATCATGGATTATCTTTATTATTATACAATAATTTTAAGTGTTTAAGCTATTACATAATAAGAATATTAATACAATAAAGGCTATTATAAAGCGTGACTTTGGTGATAGAATCCGTTGAGTGACAGTATTCTTCAGTTGTTTTTCATATTAAATAGTGTGGGGTCTAAAGCCGTTTACCGGGGAGTTTTGAAAACACAGAGATCGTCGTAAATTAGTAAAGATCTGAAATTGTTAGGTATACGTATGAAACTCATGCCGGGAGGTCGAAGGTTTGATCATTTGAATTGATAGAAATTAAGCACATGAAAATTCTAAATAAGAATAAAAGTATCATTAAAGAAGAAAAAACGTTAACTCCAGCTGTACCCAACTTTTACTCTTCACAGGTACATTTCTTATAGCAACTATATGTAAAACTAAATCTGCAAACATAATCGGCCAACGGATTAAATTGATCTCTTCTGAAGATCTTTATCTGGATTTTGAGCGATCACTTTGTATGACAACTATATTATATAGGACTACATAATCACCGTTAACCATCCGCCTATCACAACCAGGGGCCTGGCAATACTGTTATCAGTAGAAAACAAAATTTCAAATCGATATCTCAAAAACTGAGGAACTAGACAGCCGGTCATGGCTAAGTTGACGCAGCTCGTCACGCTGATCATTTATGTATATATTTTATAGAGTCTCCGACATTTCCTTCTGGGTGTTACAAGTGTGCAGCAGACTTTATTTTATATGCTTACCGAGATAACAGCAATGTAGAATCGGCCGTTTCGCGTCGATATACATTCAAGAGAAAGTGAAAAAATATTGTACATATATATATTTTTTTTAATATGCCGTAGTGTTGAAAATAATTACTCTCCTATGACAGCAAAGCCAGTTTTAAAACCACTACCTAGTCCACGTACAATAGCTACCTCGGAGTTAGTTCAGTAATGGAACTATCGTTTAATTAAGTTGGTGGACATAATGAATCCACATTATAAATTGGATTCTATAAGATGTTTTTTGGCATTGTGCTCTCAATGCCAGAAAAGCTCAGAGTGTGTTGAGGTTATGGGAGTGGTACAATTTCTCCAGAACCACTTCATAAATTAAAAGAAAGACGTTTACTTAAATGCAGACTCATTATTCAATAGTACAGTAGAGTAATTGAAATTAACCTACAATAAACAAAAATTTGACAGAACAATTAAAATATAATAAAAATGTGCTATAAAAACGCAAACTGGTAGATAATCAGATTTTGATATGATATAAAAAGCAAATAGAGGAGTGGCCATAAAATGTCTTTTGGCAAATTTGGAGATAGTTAACAATTTTTAAAAATATTTTTTCACATGCTTTTTATTGTTTTATTGCTTTTAGATAAATAAGATTTATATATTATTGCAATAAAATTAATCGCATGCGCATTTTGACTCTTTCAGATAATACCCCTGTGGGAATTTCATAAACTGGCGCCGAAAACGGGTTAATATGAAGTTTGTGATTACTACAGGCATTATTATGTGTGCGTGTGCTAATGTGCATAAATAATTAAAATTTGCATTGGCTATTGACAAAATAAGTATGTCTACATTATCTGCGACAACAAGTACTTATTACATAGCCAATTTAATAGTGCGTCACTTCGAGCACCGCGATTTCGAGAGGCCAACGTATGTAGTGTTGAAAAAGTATTAATCGATATGTTTGACCGTGTGCCGATTTTTTATTAACAAACATACATACACATACAAGAGTATATGTTTGTTTGCTTTTCTCAACAAGTTGAAAGTTCTTAGAGTGCATGACGTGTGAACATGTGATATTTTGGAGTATCACTCCAGCGGGCAACGCACGCGGAACGAAAACGAAGCACATATAAACACCGTCGCTATTAACTTTGTGGTATGCTACAAATACATGGTACATACATACCTATGTATGTATATATGCATGTGTAGATCTGTCTAGCGCACCCACACCCCAAACACACACACACACACACAAAGGGCGCGCCAAGTCAGTCACGTGCATTTCATTTATTGACAAGATCATCTCGTGTGAATGCAGTCATGCGGTATGTGCAACAACACTAAATCCAAGCACATCACATATCCTAATATATGCACGCACCGCAACAGCTTCTACCAACACACACACATTTGCTTGTGTCTTACAAGGCTTATCAGTCAACCGAACAGGCATTATCGCACAATCAAATGCAATTCAATCCACCCAACAACCCAATAAACCAATAACTTAAGTACTGAACAACTCAGCGATACTGCGATACAGCGACTTCAAAAAGCGATGTAAGACATATTACAAACATACATATCGCAGCGCAAAGTACCGAGTCGCCGAGTCAAACAAACGATCAATTGACGATCACCTAGCTACAGGCATACATATGTATATACAGACAGACATTCATACGCCAATGTGATACTCCGTTTCGTGAAGTGCCGACGCGTCGTCTTGTAGTTGTGGTTGTTGTTGCGCTATGTTGACAATATTCGTATAAATCTACTACTAATATTCGCCCAGTTTGATACTACTACTCAAATGCGTTTAACGCGTAGTCGAAACTGATTATCCGTCAGCGAACGCATACGCAAGTGAAATATTTCTACAGCTGCGGCTAAAGCTCTTACAATTTGTTGTTGTTGCTTTGCAATTGTTGTTGGTGCGTTGCTGCTGCAAAAGAATTCTTACTTTGCTACTTCCTTTACGAGTTTTGATTTATTTGTGTGTTTTTTTTATACATTTTTGGTTGTTGTTGTTGTTGCATTTTATTTGTTGCCGGCGGATAACTTGGCAATCAACAGAATCACCGCAGTGCAAGTCAGAGCTAAATTCGCTACTCTACGAGATTGAAGTGCTCGTCGCCGGAGTTAGGGCGAAGATTAAATGTCGTGCGCGTTGAGGCTGGAGGAAATTTGTGTAGAAAATTGTTCGTGAATGAGTTGGTGTTTAAATGGCGTGGAATGCATACGAAAATAAAAAACAGTTATTAAAGCAATAAAAATTATATTTCGCTTAAATAAACATATTAAATGAACTAAAGTGAACATTATAGTAAAAGGTACTTGACTGTGATGAGAAGGCAACTGAAAGAAAATGTAAAAAAGTTAATGATATTAAAAAAATAATTTAATTAACTAACTAAAAAAAAATAATTATAATTTAAAGAGTAAAAAATCGTGGTAAGAAGTAACTAACATTAAAGAAAAAGAATTACAAAAATATATAAAATAAATATTGAATTTAAATAACATAGCCTAAAAAGTTAAACAAAATAGAAAGCAGTGGACACCGAAAGATATATTAATAATAATAAAAAAAAGATATATTAATAATATTAAAAAAAAGATATATTAATAATATTAAAAAAAAATTAATTTAATTCATAAATAAGAATAATATCAATTAAATAAATAATTCAGCTATAAAATATAATTTTGTTTGTGATATTTTGTGCCTTTATATAAAAAATTATATAAAATTAAGTAAAATAATATTATATATATATTATAATGATAATTTACAATATATATACGTATTGCTATTAAGGGTGTTTGCGTCAAAAAAAATAAAAATAAATAAATAAAAACCAACGAAATAAATAGTGCAACGCATAAAAAATAATAATAATTAAAATCATTTGCTTTAATCAGTGTAAACAAACGCATTTACGTGCAACACTCGTGTGAGTTGCGTGTTTGATTCGTGCGCGCCTGCAAAAATGAAGTTTCCTACCAACACCAACTCCTCCCAAATGGAGTCTCTGCTCACCGTTCCATCACTGACAAATGTCAAAGTGCATCCAATGCGCACCGCTTCCAATGCTTCGTCCATTGTGCGGCCGAATGTCAATAGTGCTGGTGTTGCCGACGATCCGGATGAGGATGAGACCGGTCTCGGCTACACGCATACTTTGGTGAGTTTAAAAACCTTAAATAAATATTCTATTACTTTATAAATTATGCTAACATACTGTTATATTTACATTATGGACAGTTAGGCTTAACTGGAATATATGAATTTTTTGTGAAAGTGCTTTTGTATACATGATTTATTAATTTTCAAGTATGCGGTTTAAGTTTTGTCGCAATAGCAGGGTTGTATTTTTAATTACGTTTATCAATTAAGTTTATGTAGGAGGTGGACCTTGTTAAATTTCACCACTTTTCGTTTTAGAAATGTCTTATAAATTATAATGTTATCTATGGCATCAAAGTATGGCTTTTTAAAAAAATTTAATTTTCTGCATAATCGTTTTAAGGTTATAAAGTAAACTATTTTCGGTATTAAACGGAACCGAAATTTGTGCTATCCACAATATAAGAATTTAGTTAGAAAGTATTTTCGTATTTGAAAAAGTTAAATTAATCGGTGTCTGGGTATATAAATTAAACAGAGTTAGCCACTTCAGCGGAGAGAATTGCAATTCAGTAAATTTAGAAGGTTTCCATAATCAAAGCCTGTCGGCTCGTAACCACGGTTTACATTAACGGAACGGACCCGAGTGTATATTCGGCCGAGGGGTGCCAATTCTAAACTATATGAATTTTGTTGTTACGCGTATTTTTAAGTTTTATCAATTATAAACATGACGCCTGTCTGAAAACCTCATTAGTCTTGATTTCACTTTGCTGCCATCACCCAGATTAATTTACATAAAAAATTCGACCGCTGGTTGTCTTTAATAGACATAACTTGCAGGTTAACGCCCTATGTCCTTAATGACTAGGAACACCCTGAAATAGCCAGGTAACTTGAATAACTAAAAATGATGTTCATGGCAGTGAATGTCATTCAAAATTCCTGAGTGTTCCAAATTGTTACCCAATAGATAATCTCGAGCCCGTTATGTCAACAGTCTTAATATTTCATATATATGTATGTATGTATGCAAGTCAATTTTCAGTATAAAAAATCCTATAAATACTAACGACTTAAAGCGAATGAAATTAGCATTATTACGGTCATAAAGTTCATTATATACATACAAATATAATTTATAGCTGTTTTTGGCACAAAAACACAAAACTGTTTTACACTCTAATAAAGTCTGAAATGGTTTGTAGACAACTACAGCTGTAAATATAATTATGACATAGTCAACATAGAGCTGTCGGAAGCTCGAGAAATGAGATAGTTCTAATCAACAGCTCACAATGAACAGTTTTGGAGCAACTGTGTGAGTCGCACTGATAACAAAAGCAAACATATATTCGTACAGATATAACTATGTATAAATATGCAAATACAAAAGCTGGTGTTGTTGTATAACAAATAACACTGAATATGTGGCCTCTTTTTGCACAAATAATAATAATAGTATTAAGAAGGAAAAGTCAAAGTGTATTAGCAAAAACACAAAACAAAAGCAGATTAGCATTAAATGCTTATCAAAATCTTTCGTTGTTTGGCTAGATTATAACGCGAGTGTGCAAAGTAAACAAATGAAGTAACATTTTTGAGTACTCTAAACTTGCCCCTCGCACAGATGTAAACAAATTTTGTATAAAAACAAAAACAACTGATAATTGTAAAATCATCTTGCTAACTTTTTTTTTTTATATATTTTAAGATTTTTTATTTATAATTTTTTTTTTTTTTTGCACAAGTACTATCCGATTTATGTACAGCTTATTTATTCTACCAATTTGTATTTTGTGAAATTTTGAAACTTATAAAGTGTTTACAGACGTCGTTAGCAGCGTTTTTTAAGTTATTTGCAGTATTCGTGCTATTCAATATTGTTTATATAACTTTATTTCTGAATTTACTTATAAAAATTAATAACAATCAATTTAAAATGAGCTCCTTTTCGTATTGGCTTTAATCGTTTATACTTCACTTTAAAGTTTTTTTAGTTTTGAGCATTTTTGCAACATTATCCACACGCACTTAGAAATATGAATGTGTATATGTGTCTATATGCTTTTCGAAACTTCCGTACTACCTCTTTTAAAACTAGAACTTAAAATATCTTCACTGAACATACAATACACATGTATATCAAAGCCTCCTCTCCCCTTAGGTTCTTTTTGGTCACATACCATTGTATTGCCAAATGATTTTAAACTGAATAAGAAATATTTTCAAATGAGATCAACGATTACAATACATTGTGTAAGCATACCTTTCTAAAAAAGGTGAGGTTAATCCGAGAATCCAACAGAATAGTCGAATACCTTTTGCCAAGGTAAAACTGTATATAGCCACTTACCCCGAAATTTATAGTGACCCTTTAAATGTCAGTGTTGTTTTAAATATGGTTATTTGTACCATTCTGATGCCCGATCAAAAAAACTTTTCGATATACGAGTATATTAAAGCTTTCTAACTAAATTGGATTGATAGCTTTGGAAGGTTTTTCGTAGAAATATAAACAGCATTGATTTGGAATTTATAGCTGCTTTTAACAAATTACGATCAAACGGCGTTGATAGTAAGTTAAGATATTTCTTTAGGCGACTAATATCAGATAATAATAATTCGACATTTCGCTCCTGGTTCGCCGAATGTTTAACTGACGAGATGTTTCAACTTCAGTCTTGCAAAAGCTGAACCATGGAAGAGAAAGTGCTTGGATGTTTGGCTGAAATTGTCAAAGTTGTATGGGGAAGGTGAGGTAGCCTTTCTCATGCAACTTTGACAATTTGCATCCCATAATATATTTAACCTTACCGCATTGATTTTTTGATTGATGATGCCTTTTTACAACCTCCAGTCAGAACTCCAACAATTACAGCGAGATAAATCTTGCTGAAAGCAGTAGCGTTAGTCAGTTCCAATTAAAATAGTTCGTATTTGAAAAATTATCATGAGAAAGTCACGTGAGTGTAGACACACCTGTTTTAGCAAATATCTATGGTATAACGACCACGAGGTTAAAGCAGCGATGTTTTGTACGTTGTTTACTTTCTTCATATTTATACCCTGAACATGGTATATTAAGTTTGCCACGAAGTTTGTAACACCCAGAAGGAAACGTCTTAGACTCTCTAAAGTATATATATAAATGATCAGCATGATGAGCTGAGTTGATTAAGCCATATCCGTCGGTCTGTCCGTCTGTATATACGCGAACTACTTGTAGTCCTTCAGTTTTTAAGCTAACAATCTGAAATTTTACACCTATCTTTTTCTCACACATATAGCTGCCATACAAACTGCACAATCGAAATCAAGTGCTTGTATGGAAAATTCTTTCATTTGACGAGGTATATTCACGATATTAAATCGGAATCGAGTTCTTGTTAAGAGCCTTTGTATTTGTGAAGGGTATTATAGCTATAGGTGCAACCGAAGTCAACGTTTTTGCTTGTTTTATAAATATACATGTATGTGCAGTAAATATTAAAATCCACAATCACTCATAGGGAATCCCCTCACAACTATACTACCAATTTATTGCAATAATAACTATGAAAAAGCACATAAAAGTATTTGAATATATTAGACATTTGTTTCAAAATTAGGTGAATACTAAATTAATAACCACAAAATTATACATGTATTACAACAAATTTGTGCTATTAGTCTTCAGCTGCTTTTTTGTCACCGACTACGTCAATGCTCTGTGTTGCTTTTGTGAATAAGCTTAAAAACGAAAATTATTGTATTTATGTACATATGTGTGTATGTAGAAATGTAAATACCATACATACACATTTAATGTGTACCCTATATTACGCCTACCATTAACAACGGAAGTCCCCGCTCATTATACCGGTTCATTGTTCGGATATGTACATATTTCTCACATTGTTATATTTTGATTGTATTTATTGTTGTTGTTTAGTATTTGACATTGTCGTCAGCGTAAAAAAATGCTTACATCTGTTATTATTAAGTGTATTATTGCGATATTAATCTTGATGTCATTTTTATATTTTTTTATTGGCGTGCAATCGCTATTCAAACGCCAGAATAAGGCTCAAAGGTAGACACGAGTATAATTAAGATAATGATTTTTAGAACGCTGAGATATTAGCGAGTAATTGTGATTTCACTTTAAAGTTTTTGTACCAATTGTAAATAAAAACCAAATGCTGTTAAAGATATTTATCGCTCTTTAAATTATCGATAAAACAATCCAATATCCGAGTGTTGGGTATGATTGTCTGTCAGCATGCTTACATTCATGAAATTGCATTCACAAATTGATCTACAAAGCGTTAATCACACACACATACAGACTGCAACAATACAAAAATGCTTCTGCATCTCTTCCAACGCTTCTCTCGCAGCAGGTTGATTGAACTTTAGATTTGTACGACCCTAGGGCGACTAAGATTGCTACTCTGACGTCGTTGGTTGAACTTGTTTTTACAAAAATTAATTTTCGGGCAATTTACCAAATACGGGGGACTTTATTTTCAGTTAATGAGTAGCAACTTTTTTGAAGACGTTATCTGTAAGTTAATTAATTATTTACACGTCAGCTGGGGTATCTAACATATGTATTATGGGTACAGATTCGTGGATTTGGGTAGAAAACAACTGAATTTATGTCTAATAGCTTTGTTTTTGAGTAGATGTAATTAAATTTTTCACAAAAGAAATTATTTTTAGGTAGAGGTAGACCTTCCTTAAGAAAGATCTTCACTTTTAAATGTCCTATTCAATCCTAAGTTGTTTTATAATGAGTTTAAAGGACATTATTTATTTATATTTATTAATTTTATTAATTTTTGAACACACTTTTATTATACGAACTCTTTATAGTCGAGTAAAAGATATGGATAAATCTCAACTGGATCGTTATTTAGCTTTATCGAAATCAGGAGGTTGCTGCCATTACCTTTAAATTGCCAAATGTCTAAAAATAAAATCTGCTCCAACATGTAGATGAAATTAATTAAAAAATTTAAGCTGAAAAACTGTTGCCACAAAGTTTTCACCACTTTCTAAAAATTAAATTGC